CAGCAACCTAAACCTAGCATGCAACGCCCAGCTGCCTGCACCCGCACATTATCAGTGGCTCGGGTGAACGGGAGCATGTACAGACAACACACGTCGCATGACTCCGGGTCAAACAATCATCGACCCAACAGGTAGCATGGCAGAGGCAAAACAGGCGAGTGTCACCCTGAGATAAGGGGACAGAGCAACCTTCAAACTCGCAAGACGCGAGGGGGGAGTCAGGGGTCACATCCATCGGACCACGTAGCCCCAGTGGGGTTTCCCAGGGCCCTTAGCCATGGTTACACGTTAATGGAAGCTCAGGCAGGGTACTGCGAACCGGCACCCAAGTTTACCAAACAAACTGCTAAAGCTGAACCCCTGGGACGTGTCCACTCACAGGGGCCAAACGGGAAGGACCACCAAACATAGAAACATAGATATATAAATATATATACCACAAGAACAGCAATGAGGGACCACAAAGGCAGACCCACCAACCAAGCAGAAAGCAAAAACAAAAGAAAAACCCCGCAAGAGGACAACGTACCCAGGCGGAACAGAGCCGGCCGCTATCATAGTTGGAAAACTAGCTGTGCAGTACTCCGCACCCACCAGTGACGAAAACTACCCCTACCCAGAGACAAACAAGGGTAAGAAAAACCCCAGCTGACCTCAAGGGCGGCCAAGTACCGAGCAGTAAACGGCACAGCAGAGGTAGATCCCGAGGCGACTTGTGGATAGAGGCCCCAAGAGCAGTACTTGCAGGGCACCTAGGGAAGGGAACCCTTGGTGCATGCAGCCCAAGTACCGTGGAATACGTCTCCCGGCTCACGCACCACCTGTAGAGGGAGCACACACCACAAAGCACAGAACTGAAACAAAAACCGGAGCCAGAAGCACGACCGCATGAGACTTCCATCAGCCTAAGAACTGAAGGTTGGGTCGCCGGCGAGTGGGTCTGGGGCTCCCCCTTCCACCTCCTGGGGAGGGGGGTTGTGCAGACTGGTGCACCGACATGATGACGTCATGCTAGTTTGCTAATTTTCGTTTGGGGGAGTTCTGTCCACTTGTTCAGCCTTCGGTCGCAATAGTTTTACCAGAATAGGGGTTTGTTTTGGGGCGCCACCTTTCTGGGTGCCTGTCCCGGTCGATGATACCTGCTTGATGGGGTTCTGGGAGTTCTTCTACTCCCCAAGCCTGGCCCGAGGCCCGGCTTGACATGTGAGAGTTTGGTCCACCAGGCTGTTGCTTGGAGCGGCCCGCAGGCCCACATACCCACCACAGTCCGGTTGGTCCGGGCTGTGGTGGGTAGGCTGTGGAGAAAACAGTCTAGTTTTCTTTTGAAGATGTCCACTGTTGTTCCGGCAATATTTCTTATAGTCGCTGGGAGGATGTTGAACAACCGCGGATCTCTGATGTTTATACAGTGTTCTCTGATTGTGCCTATGGCACCCCTGCTCTTCACTGGTTCTATTCTGCATTTTCTTCCATTTCGTTTATCCCAGTGCATTGTTATTTTACTTTGTAGATTTGGGGCCTAGCCCTCCAGTATTTTCCATGTGTGTATTATTTGGTATCTCTCTCGTCTCCTTTCTAGTGAGTACATTTGGAGAGCTTTGAGACGATCCCAATAATTTAGCTGCTTTATCTCGTCAATGTGCGCTGTATATGTTCTCTGTATTCCCTCTATTTCAGCAATCTCTCCTGCTCTGAAGGGGGAAGTGAGTACTAAGCAGTACTCAAGATGGGACAACACAAGTGATTTGAAGAGTACAACCATTGTGATGGGATCTCTGGACCTGAAGGTTCTCATAATCCATCCTATCATTTTTCTGGCTGAAGCAATACTTGCTTGGTTATGCTCCCGAGTACAGTGGGGCCTCGACTTACGATGGTAATCCGTTTCCAGAGACGGATCATAAGTCGAAGTGATTTTTCGCATAAGAAATAAAGGAAATTGAATTAATCCGTTCCCCACCCTCCAAAATATTAACTTACAAATACATTTTATACAGAATACAATGTTTTTTTCTAACTACAATACAGGACATAAGTTTATCTTACCTTTATGGAGGTCTCTTGATAGCGTATGGAAGATGGTGATGAGGGGGAAGGAGGAGAGTTGTTACTGTTTGGAAGGGGAGTCCCCTTCCATTATAACATCAGACAGTGATGACTTTTCTGGGGTACACTCTCTCTTACATTTTGCCTGCATACCACTAGGACCTGGTTGTGATTCATTGCTTGTTTGTCTCACTAAAAACCTTTCCAGAGATTTTTGTTTTTCCATATGTTTTAATTTTTGCCTGTAGTGAGGCATCACAGTGTCATTAAAAAGGTCAAGGCAACGGCCTACTGCACCATGATTTGGGCGAGTCATTTCAGCAAAAGTTTGCAATTCTTCCCATGCTGCACACATTTTCTTAATTAATGAGGAAGGAACATTCTGTACTGTCTCCTCCTCCCCTGAAGAAATTTCCTCAGCTGTCTCTTGTTGCTGCTCCTTGGGAAGTTCTTCGGTGGTCAGTTCTTCGCTGTGTTCCTCCACCAGCTCGCAACACACATCACTCAGAACACTATGAATGCCACTTCTTTTTCTAAATTTCTCAAACCATCCCCTGCTCGCCTTAAACTCTTTCGCATTTGCATCATTCGTTCCAGGGGTTTTCTTTAAAAGGTCTTCATGCAATTTTTCTTGCCTTTTCACAAATGATGGCCTCTGAAACTCTATCACCCACTAACTCTTTGTTGTGCATCCAAATTAATAATAACTGTTCAACATCCTCAAGTGTTTGTGTTCTATGTTTCGTGATTATTGATACGCCTTTTGCCACTTCAGCACTCATAATGTCCTTTTTCTTAGCCAGTATGGTGGATATTGTTGACCGAGATTTGTTGTACTGCATAGCTTGTTCAACAACCCGCACACCATCTTCATATTTACGAATGATCTCTTGTTTCTGCTCTATGGTCATCCTTACATGGGTTTTTGTATGTTGAGCCTTACCACTGACTTTCCTGGGACTCATGGTGTGATATATAATAATTACTTTAATGTTCAAAACGCAAAAAATCACCACAAAAGCGGAATTTCTTATAGGCGCGATCGTCACTAAGCGGGCAGCTGTAGTAAACTGAGACAGGTCGGCCGCATGAATGGGAACCACGTTCTCAGTCGACCCGAACGTGTACCAAGAAATATTGTTAGTTGACGACACTATCGTATGTCGAGTTGCATTTTTCGATGAAATTTACATTGTAACTCGAAATTATCATAAGTCGGGGCAATCGTAAGTCGAGGTGCCACTGTATGGAGTTATTCCACATTTCTCAAGATTCTTCCCAAATGAATATCAAAGATGTGCCCACAACTAAGTTCTTTAACAGGAGCCTAAGGTTCTGAATTTGATCCCCGGCAGAGTCAGAAACAAATGGCCAGAGTTTCTTTCGCCCTGATGCACCTGTTCACCTAGCAGTAAATAAGTACCTAGTAGTTAAGACAGCTGCTACGGTGTGCTTCCTGGGGACGTGTAATGAAAAGGAGGCCTGGTCAAGGACCAGGCTGCGGGGAAATTAAGCACCGAAATCATCTCAAGATGACCTCAAGAAAACTAGCTAACCAATCACGGTAGCCTCACAGTAATCCTCATTCCTATCTCAATGGCTTTTGGCATATAAATGCCAAAGTTGCCAGTGCAATTACAAAGTGTTGACTACAAGTGCCCACTTATCAAACATGAGTTGTTCTCACAGTAGTGTTACTCTGAGACATTACAGGTATCATAAACAGATATTGCCCATTTTAACCGGTCTGCCTGTACACACAAACGAGTTTATGACTGCTAGATCTTGCTTCTACCCAAACATTGTTAGGGCCACTGGGCCAACAACACTGAAGATAACGCATGACGGGGGCAGATCTAATAGAAACCTTAAAAATACTAAACAATTTGGATGATGTCGATTCAGACACTTTCTTCAAAAGATCAGATGTAACACGAACGAGGAGGAACAGGTTCAAGCTCAACAAGCCACAATGTAGGACAGAAAACAGGAAACGCTTATTCACCCATAGGGTTGTAAACCTGTGGAACCGCATTCCCCCCGAAGCCGTAAACTCCAAACTCTGCTGGGTTTTAAAATACAACTAGGAAAGATCATCCGGGCAAATGAGGGGGACCTTTGACTAGCCCCAGCTTCCTGTCCTCGTCAAATCCACTAGTATTAGTGGCCCTCAGGTAAATTCAGGTAAATTGTACCTCAGCATTCTATCTAGATCATTGTTCTCTCTTCTTCAAAAACTAGTCGTGTAAATTTTTATTCTTTAAGAATTTTTCAGTAATAAAAATCATTGCAATATTCAAAGTTGGTATTGTGTTACTGTACATAGAATATCACCCTGTCTTACCACATGATTTGTTTCCAGATACACTAATGTTAGATTCTTACCTTTGGAGGTCCCTAGGTGGGATAACTTAGAAAAACATTGCAACATATTATATGTATATAACAAATACATGTATATAATCATCACAACTAAACACTTCAGTTGTGTGTGTTGCAAATATTTCAATCATTTTTATGTAAGATTACTAAATCTTAAAACTAAAAAAAAAAAAAAAAAAAAAAAATAAATAAAAAAAAAACAGAAGCTGGCAAACTAAATATTGGAGTAAGGAACTGATCAACAGGAGAGAGAGAGAAGCACTGATAAAGTGAAGGCAGAGACCTCAAGAAAGCTCTCTTGGACGCATTGGATATACAGAGACGTTTAAGCTACTTTTTGTGCTGCATTGACATGTGAGGTATTTATAGGCAAGATATTGGACACCAAGACAGAGGTGAGCCACTGCATTAATCAAGACTATACCTGAACTATATATACATATATATATATTATGAATAGAATTCAACTATATCTGACGTAAAACTAATCTAAAAAATGCATACGTATACTATATATAAAATACTGGTAAATGTAAAAACCAAGTTCTAAGATATTAAATGACTTAACTTACCTCTTCCCCTGGAGAAATAATTGAGGATTTAGGGGATAATGATTTTCTGTTCTCTTTCTTGGAAACATCTTCATTCTCATTACTGCCTTGGGGACTGAAAAAATATATATATACACATGTATTCAAGTTGTTTAAAAGAAAGTTCTCAACACATGTCTTTTTATTATGCTTACAATTATAATAAATAATATGGTTTCTTAAAATAAAACAACAGAGTAAACCCAACAAAGCATCCTAAAGTATAATTTAAATAATATATTGTAGTATCTTATCTAATCTGCCTTTTGTATTATGGGTGCCCAAAACAAAAACTCTCTGCATATTAGTGGCTTTGCAAGAATGTAAGAACACCAGTGTTATGTACTATCACAACCCAATGAATCTTCTTGTATATAAATAAATAAAGTACATAAAATAAAATAAAATAAATTGTGATGAATTTAAGGCTACTACAGTTGAGCTAAGAGTAAGTACTTACTAAGAACAATTGCTAGCTTAACTGGACAACGTTTTAGACACGCCCAAAAATTGGACAACTTTATCCCTACATATCATAAATGGGCAATCATTTGACACAAATAACGTGTTCAGATATGAAACAAATTACTTTTCTCACTACCTACACTCCCTCTCATTCAAATAGAGGAGACACATGCAAACTGAGTCTACTGGTTTATATTATACAGTATCAACAATTCTACATAATAATGTGCAGTTTGTGTCAGTTTTATTAACCTGTTTGGTCGGTGGTCTTGAGTTCCTGCAGGAGATGTGAAATCCTCCTCATCATCAGAGGCAAATGGGTCTACGAGTTGCTTGTGTGTCATCAACACAGGCCGCTCTCCACTGCTGCTGTTGCTACTTAATGATGCCTATTAAACATGACACAGCATATGAAGACAATATTCAAGCATAACTGCAGTGTTTATGTATAACAATAAATACTTAAAAGTACACTTAGGCCCACAGTATTCATATATGTCGTACCCCACAATACACTATCAGATGGTATAAGCAAGTAACTTTTTAAACATACAAGTATTTGAATGTCGCACATGGAATAGTCTGTACACTATAAATGTTAGGGTGATGCTTGGCAAATTCAGAACACCACTTGGCATTTGTAGCTTGAGAAAATGGACAACTAGAGGTGTGTACAACTAAGGAAAGGTGAAGCAAATTCATACAATTTATAAATGAGTGCATTTGACTACCTGTTAAATTTTACATGATTTTTAACAAAATTATCATCATTACTAACTATAGTGTATATATTAGACCATCATCTGTGTATATCTATAAAATATGAATGGCACAACTCAGGCTTCCTGAATTTTGCCAGGAAAAAGCTTTTACAATTTAATACTGTAAACCATTTAATTGAGCTAAACATTTAACATCATTTATGAAAATTTTTCAACGGAAGAATGCCAATAATACAAGTTAACAACCCATACATGATACCACTAATATCACACCATTCAGTAAGTTAAAATTTCAATTAATATATAATTTATGTTTTTGATTTGTATTTCAACTTCATAGCAACCATTGTGGACAAAAACTTACTGTAGAGTTTCTATTTTCTGTTTTGGCAAGTTTTTCACGAGTGGGTGAGAGGACTTTTGTACCAATTTTGAAGATCTCGGAAGTAATAGACTTGGATGAAGCCAAAAGCCGCTCCTTTGCTGATGGAGGCGAGACAATGTTGCTCCCATCCTTCTCAGAGCCATAGTCTCCACTCTTTCTTTTGCTTGAACTGGTAGTATTAGATCTGAAACATAAATATTTGACATTCTTTAATAGGAATCAAAACTCTCCTACCTACAATGTAGAACAATCTATTGTATTTAAGGGTGAAAATCCATTCCTTCAGGTAAAAGTATGATATATCATGTGATTATGTAGCAATGGTTTCAGAACCTGCCAGCTCAATCTCTGCGCTTATCAGTTAAGCTGTTGATGCTTGCAACTCACAGTCAGGTGGTTGTACCACAACCCAGCTCATCAGACACAACTTAATGAAACTTATAACTTTCCCTATTGAAGTCAGTTTGGGTTCTGTTGGTAATGACCCTTATATTTGAATGGTAGATATTTATAAGTTTTGGGCCACTAATGTTTTTAGCTATAATGTATCTTACCATACTTATTGCATATCTACTTCCACTGGAACCAACCTTTCAGTTACATTTCTTGTACCTTAAATTAAGCTCTGCAGTCTGTGAGCACTTAGGCAATCCCAGTAGTTAAAACTTTTTTTTGAATGATGTAGGCAGAGTATGTTCTCTGTAAATTTCCTGATATCAGCAATTGTCGCTACTCTGAATGGGGCTATTTGTATATTTAACCCCTCAACTGCGCTGGCCAACAAATGTCATTTTGAGAGTTGTCCGTTTTTATTTTTAATTAGGCTATATTTCAATGTTTTTAATGTTTTCATTACTCTGTGTTTTGAAATGAATATAGTTTAGTTTGGACAAATTTTGGTGTGCAATAGTGTTAACTCTGCTTCAGGGAAGTAATGTGAAGAGATATTTCTAAATAGGCTAATTCTTCGTTCATTGTACGCCATATTCATTAGTGAATGCTCAAAGAGGTAACCATTATCATTCATTCACTCGGATATTGTGAATATTATGTGCTTTATTACTAGTGCATGATCTCTCTAGCCATTAAGCTACCACACTCTTCCTGGTATGTTCCTAGACATTAATAACCAATACAGAATAGAACTAAATTAAATGAATAATGTAAGTACAATCTAGTAAAGAACAGTAATTACTTTTGAGAACTTTGACTTGATTCAGATGTCCGTCGTATTCTGGCTTCCACTGATCTGTTGTCATTTTCATTGTCTCCAGGTGTACTGAGGTGGGAGGAGAGCCGTTGCAAATTACAGTTGTCATCATGAGATCGGAGATTGAGAATGTCATCATCGCCTGAATTAATATCTAGTCGGCCAATGGTGTACGAAGACTCGGCTGCAGTGTCTCCAATTTGCGCAACTTCCAATTCATGCCCTGTGTGGGAGAACAAAAAGTGAGAAATGCAGAAAACAGTAAGGTAACCTGTTCAATCAGCAAAAACAACAAATGACAGTTTTAATGTCTTTGAGAGACCATTTAAAGATAAAACACAATGCCGAGGCATAGAACAAATATTTAAGAAATTATTGTTTCTGCTACACAATAGCAGGGGTTGGGGAATAAGGTAAATTACTGCAAATGGGATAAAAAAAAAATAAAAAATAAAAAATTTGGAGGGAGGGGTTAATGCAAGCTCAATAAATAAAATCCAAATACAGAGGAGCCTCGGGTGATGAGCAGCTCCAGCTACAAGCATTTCAGCTAACGAGCGAGCCACTCGCAGAAAATTTGTCTCAACTGACGAGCTTCCACTCAGTTAATAAGAAAACCACATGGTCCTTCTTAGCATTCCCCCTTATCATTATCAGATGGATAGATAAGTCACCTTGAGGTTACCTTGAGGTGCTTCCGGGGCTTAGCGTCCCCGCGGCCCGGTCGTCGACCAGGCCTCCTGGTTGCCGAACCAGAGTCATTTACAGTCATTCAGCCATTTACAATCAATCAGGCTTTCACAGTCAGTAAACAACAAGAGTTTAATGTCAGGCAGTCTGCCTCCTGATCCACCACATGGTAGCGAGGAAGCCAGCCTTCCGTTAATACCATCCAGATGTGGCTGGGAGGGTACAGCTGGGTGGGGGGGCGGGTAGTCCGGTGTGGGGATGGGAATATGGGGGTAGCAGAGAGGGTGTGTTGTGGGGGATAAAGGTAGCGGGGAGGGTCCGGTGGCGGTATGGGGGTAGCGGGGTGGGTGCAGTGTGGGGGGATGGAGGTTTACCCCACCATCCATCCAATCCCCCTTCCACCATCCATCCATCCATTCACCTCCCTATCCATCCATTCACCTCCCTATCCATCAATCCACCTCCCTATCTATCCATCCAGTTCCCCCCCACCATCCATCTAACCTTCCAGTTCCCCCACCATTCATCCATCCATCCAGTCCCCTCACCATCCAACTGAAATTCACAAAAAGAGACAGCACGCCTGACTCAGAGGTGGATTCTCCTTCCACACCGTAACCCCTCTCCACCTCCCCACCGTCTCCAAGCCAACATCGACTCTTCATAAGGTAAGTACAATTGAAAAAGTAAAACAAAACATTGATAATAATTACATCATAATTACAGTATATTATAAAATTTCATATGATGTTTTTTGGGGTGGAACGGATAAATTGTATTTCCATTATTTTAAATGAATACATTTTGCAAGACGAGCATTTCACATGACGAGCTCGGTGCCGGAACGGATTAAATTCGTTAACTGTGGTTCCTCTGTATATGTAAGATTTGTATACTATTTTAAATCGTATGACATAATTTAAAAAAAAAAAAAAAAAATTCTATTTAAAACAAATGATCTAGTTAATGGTTAAATGAACTAGTTATTAATGGTTAATAACATTTTTACACAAATAGATTTGGGGGTAATAATCAAGAAAGTTCCCCGACCCCTGCACTACAGTGTATATTAAATACACAATTGCATATGATGTGATAAATTGCTCAAATATATTTAAACACAGATTATCAAACACAGACTAGGACCTCATCCTTTGGTGGCACATTTCTGATCCATACAAATTAATAATTAAAGTGATACTGCCAACAGCTCATAACTTTAAGCTTGAGATGGTGGCACTGTACAAACAAAACTGATGATTCAAGGTCAGATCCAATCCACCATGAAACATTATGACTTGGAAATAATGAATTGTGAGAGAGCAATTAATGCCAAATTAAAATAAGTTAAGAATACCCAAATGACATACCTGTAAAGTGAGCCCTGAGTTGATATAGGTAGGTCATGACAGCTAACTTATCAGGCACAGTGAGTATAACCATGTCTTGTGGCTCAATCAGACGAGTAACTCCTAATCTCTCACCAGCTTCAAATGCCTTTTTACAATTACCCTTCACATCTTGTGGAGACAGGCTGTCAAATTCTCTGAGGATAAAATGTCAATAAATTGGTATAGAACATTTTTTTAATTCAATACTATCCAGTATATACATCACCAACACAAATGCACATGCAGATGCCCTTCAAGATGACCTGGACAAAATAAGTGTGTGGAGTCACACTTGCCAGAATTCAATGTGAATAAGTGTCACATTATGGAATGTGGAACAGAAGAAAATAGGCCACACACACAACCTATAAATTATGTGAAAAGGCATCAAAGAACTAGGACAAAGGAGGAGATCTAGTGGGGCTATGGAAAGTAAATTATCATCAGAGGACCACATAGAGGACATTGTGTGTGGGGCCTATGCTATGTTATCCAACTTGAAAATTGCTTCTAAATATAAGGATGGTGAAATGCAAAAGAAATTGTTCAGGACTTTTTGTGAGACCAAAGTTGGTAGTGTAGTGCCCATATCCTGAGAAGCACATCAGTACACTGGAAAAGATGCAAAGACGTGATTCTAAATGAAAAACAGTTATTAGTATGCCAAAACTAGGAAGATAGAAGAAAAAGATGTAATATGATCACTACGTACAAACTAGTAACAGGAATCTACAAAATTGATAAGGAAGAATTCCCGAGACTGGAAACTTTAAGAACAAGAAGTCATAGATTTAAATTAACTAAACAAAGCTGCTGAAGAAACACTAATAACAGTCACCCAGAGTTATGTTAAGAATTGATGGATGTATGAATACATAAACACTAGCTATATATGAATGTGTTAGGTACACAATGTTGTGTAGATGGGTATCACTCTGACCAGGTCTCATGTACTCACATAAGATCAGGTCT